GCGGGGCGGGCAAGGAGAGGCCCCGGTAGGGGGCGATTAGCGGGGGTGACGCTGCTGCTTTTCCCTCCCCGCGGAACCTCCGTTGTGCGGCTCTGTTTCCGAACGGAAGTAGTTTCCTAACACCGCCCCCTCGGCCCCCGCCCTCCGCGACGGCTGCTGGCGTCCTAGAGACGGACGGAGGCCGGAAGGATCAGCCGCGCGCTGGGGAAATGCTGAGCCCCGATCGCCTTTCCCTGCCGGGGCCTGAGTACCTGGGTAAGGGGCTGGGCGGGGCTCCGAGCCCGCTGCTGCAGGCAGACCGGGGGCAGGGAAACCGGCCTTTCAGACACAGGCCCCACGGGCATCCCGGCCTGGCGCGCCTCCGCGGGGCTGCCAGCGCCGCGCAGTGTCTTTTAGCCGGGCTTCAGCGCTCGGTCCTGGGGAAGGAGCGGCCCAAAGGGTTTTTGTTCTGGGGTTTTGTTTTGTGTCTCCCCCGTGTGGAGGGGCGAGTTGACGTGACCTCAGATGTCCACCACGTTGGGAAAGTAAACTGAGGTCCAGGTGTCCTACCCGGGGCAGTGAATAAGGCCCTGTTCAGAAAATCATAGAAGATTAAGGTGAAAGAGACATTAGGAGATTATCTAGTCCAACCCCCTGCTCAAAGCAGGACCAACCCCATCTAAACCATCCAGGGCTTTGTCAAGCCTGGCCTTAAAAACCTCTAGGGATGAAGATTTCACCCCCTCCCTAGGTAACCCATTCCAGTGCTTCACCAGCCTCCTAGGAAACAGTTTATCCTAATATCCAACCTAGACCTTCCACACTGCAGCTTGGGGCGTTTACTTCTTCTTCTGTTGTCTGTCATCACTGAGATTAGCCTAGCTCCATCCTCTTTAGAATGCCTCTTAAGATACTTGAAGGTATCAACCCATCTACCCCTTATTCTGTAGACTAAGTAAGACTAGTTCCCTCAGTCTCTGCTCAAAAGTCCTGTGCCCCATCCAATGGTCCCGCTAATCTTTTCCATCCATGTGTTGATTTTTTTCTATCCATAATGGAATACATTTTGTTATATTCACTAAGATATGCATGAATGTACACTACCAGGAGAAAAATAAATCTAGCTGTGAGTGCTCTGTTAATCAGATGGATGGCATTGGAATTTTTCTGAGCTGCCGTACAAGTGCTTAAAAGGAACACTGGCCCAAGCCTCATAATAATTTTCATTGCCCTTTGCTGGCCTTGCTCTAATTTTTCCACATCCTTTTGTAGGGGGGGGGGAGGACGACTCAAAACTGGACACACTACTCCAGATGTGGCCTCTCCAATGCAGACTAGAGAGGAATAAATTGCTTCTATTGATCTACTGGCAATGTTCCAACTAATGCAACCCAATATGCTGCTAGCCTTCTGGGAACAAGGGTGCATTGTTGACTTATATCCCGCTTCTCATCCTCCATTGTCATCCCCAGAATTGCAAAATTGCCGCTTAGCCAGTTGGTCCCCAGCTTGTGGTAGTGCATGGGATTCCTCAGTCCTGAGTGCAGAATTTTGCACTTATCCTTATTGACCTTCATCAGATTTGTTTTGGAATGTTAAGCACTCATCAAAAGAACCTGGGGTCATGCAATGAAAGTTATAGGAAGCAAGTTTAAAACAAGCAAAATGAAGTATTTCTTGACACAACTGCCCAATCAACCTGTGGAACTCTCTGCAAGAGGATATTGTGAAGGCCAAGTCTATAACTGTTCAAAAAAGATCTAGATAAATTCATGGAGGATAGGTTTATCAATAGCTATTAGCCAGATGGGCAGGGATGGTGTCCCTAACCTCTTTGCTAGAAGCTAGGAATGAGCGATGGGATAAATCACCGATGATGACCTGTTCTGGTCATTCCCTCTGAGGCAGCAGGTACTGGCCATTATCAGAAGACAGCATGCTGGGCTAGGTGGACTTTTGATCTGACTCTGTGGCCCCTCCTATGTTTGTGATTTTGGTACATGCAAAGATGCTACTCTTACGACTTTTTTGATAGTCACAACTTTTTCTCCAGGTAACCATGTTCTTGTATTTGTTTTTTTCCCCCTAGCATTTCCCTTTTGTTTTTTAAATGTAAGAAATGACCAGCGAAAAGAGACTGTGGTGTTTGCAACCTGAGTTGAGATGAAAAATCTATTAGTTGTCTAAAAGGTCTGTTTTATCCTCCCACTGCTGGAGTCCTTGACTTGCTCCCTTATGCCTGCTCCCTGTTTTGGGAAGAGAGCTGTACTGGGTGAGGGAGTAGGTGAGCATTTGAAGTATATAGTTGATTTATCTACAGGAGTGGACCTTAGATAATTAGGCTTTCTGTCTCCATCTCTTGAGTGTTCCTTGGGACCTAGGATCAAATATTTATTTTGAATATATGTGAGTACATGCAGGGTATTCACTTGTTAGGTGACAGGATTGAGTAACTGAAGGGTTTATTCCTGGAAAAGAAAAACAACTATTTTCTATTGTCAAGGGGAGACTCCAGAAACACCCTTTTGCATTTTTGGGCATTTCTTTTTTATTTTTAAAAGTATGTACATTTTTTGGCCTTGGGTCATAGCTTTCAGGTTCCTGCCAACATGCTACTGCAGACATAGTTAAGGAAATTATGGTCTTCCCTTTTCTAAATTCAGTTATTTATATTGTGTGATAGGTAACACATGGGTTTTACTGCTTTCATACTGGGACAAGGTGGAACATAAAATCTATATGTCCTATTTATTTCTTTATCTGCTCTGCATACAGATTCCCTTCCCTTACTCATTGTTGATTCAGGTGTCTCTGCATTGAAATGTGTGATACAGGTTGGCAGAGGTGACTTGAAAGAAATTTCCATTCACCACTGAAGTAAGACTCAGTTAACATTCTTCTTTGATTTTCCCCTTGTCAAATAAAAAGAGTTTGTAAATCTCCTGCAGCAGTGTTCTAAGGCAGTGTTTCTCACCCAGTGGAGAGAAGTCTGGGGGGTATGTCAACACAACTGAAATTTGGAGAAAACTAAATTTTTGTTACAAGTTTTACAGCGCTTTATTATTTTTGTACTTTTTACACCCAAAAATTTCATCACCTGCCCAGCTACGATTAAGTTGTTTAAACAAATGTGTTGCAATGGTAGAAAAAAAATTGTGTCTGAAAATTGTAGGTACTGGGGGTACTTTTTTGTTTGCTTTGGAAAGGGGGTACTTTATAAATAAATGTTGAGAAAAACTGTTTTAAGGAATGCCTTTTTTCTTTCCTCAACTATGGGTGTTGGTTCTCTCTAGACTAGGGATGTAATCAACTAGTCGACTACTGGATAAGCATAAGCTTATCAGATAGTCCAGTAGTAGTCACGCAACTAGTTGCTTCCCCCTTTGCTGCATCCATCAGAGAGAAGCAGCAAGGGGAGGGGGAGCAGGAGCCAGTGCTGCAGGGAGCTGGCTTAAAAGCCAGTTTTCCCCCACATGGTACCTGCGGGGGACAGGGGAGGCAGAGGCACATCTCTGCTATGCCTCTTTTTGAAATGTACAAGAGCCATCCATGGCTTTTGTACATTTCAAAGGGAGAGGTGCAGCAGGATAGTGGGTGCCCCCCCTTATCGACTAATCGAGTAGTCAATAGAATTTCCATCGACTAGTCAATAGAATTTCCATTGACTACTGAATTAGTTGATAAATTGAAATTTAACATCCCTAGTCTAGACAGAGACTACGTCTATGCTGGCATTTTACAGCACTGTAACTTTCTGGCTCAGAGGTATGAAAAAACATTCCCCCAAATGCAGCACGTTACAGCACAGTAAAGCACCAGCATGAACCAGGCTACAGCTTGGGAACCATGTTCCAAGCACTGTTAGCTACTCCCCTCATGGAGGTAGTTTACATAGAGCGCTGAGAGAGTTCTCTACAAGTGCTCATGCCATGGCCACACTTTGTTTAAAGAGGTTGCCACAGCTGCTCTGTAAACTTTTAAGTGTAGACAAAGCCTGAGTCTAGCATGGTCTGTGCTACTGCTTAACAAGCAAAGGCTTCTGGCATCAGCGTATTGAATGGAAATAACTATGGTAAAATAAAGTCAACATGTGATTTCATTTAATGATAGAGAAAAGCTGGGATGAGAAGGACAAAAGGGGGTTGGAAAATGTTATGTAATGTTTAAATACCTTACAACTTTTACGTTGAAAGCTCCTTGGCTTGCTGCCTCCAGATGGCTAGGGCTATGCTGAAGTCAGGGTATTTTGTATATATGTGGCGGTGTGCTTGTTTCTCCAGAGTGCAGAGGCTTTTCTTATACAAATGGGCAAGAATAAGAGTGATTTTTGTTTTGACCACTAGACCCATCATTGTATTCCCAGGCCTAGCAGGTCACAAGGTAGTGAATCATAACATCACTGTCTTGTCTTAAAAAAAAAAAATTAGTTCTAACATGATTTTAGCAGTCTGTGTTCTCCTACTCCCTAGTGTGACAAACATTCACATAGTATAGATTGGGTTCTATCCTTAGCAATTCTTAGGGTTACCAGATGGGTTTCAAAAAATACCGGACACATGTGATCTCAGAATGGGATTTGGGG